CCCTACCTCTCGAGGATGCGTTACAGATGTGCACCAACGTCCTGGCTCGGGAACTTTTAATGTAGAAGACTGTTGAAGACCCCACTTTCAGCTTAGCTTTACATGTTCAGAGTGTAGTATCCTTGAATGCAATCTTCAAATACGTTGAATTTCTTTCTTTCACTTTCAGAGTCATGATAGACTTAAACTTGCTGTCGAGTGGATCCCATTGAGGGGGCACATTAGAAAGGTCAGTAATGATTGGCTGGCAAACATGCCCAAATAGCCCCCTCCAGGTAAAGGAACAGAGTAGTCACGGCAACCCAAAGCCCCCTTTATGCTCTCAGTCAACCCCCCTTTGTGTACTCCCTAAGTGTAGCAATCGGTTTTTCTTTTGAGACAGGGTCTCAGTATGTAATGGTGTCACTTGCTGTGTAGACAATGCTGGCCTGGAACTCACTGAGTATTCTCTGCCTCTACCTGCAGACTGGTGGGATTAAATAAACGTGCAACCTTGCCTAGTTATAATCTTGATAGCTAACAAAAGGTGATTTTTTAAAAGTTAGTCAGCTTTTGTTCAGCTTCACATAATTCTCTGGGCACACATTATATGCCTACTACTGAGGACACAGAATAAATACAGTTACTGCCCAATGGAGTCTACTTTTGACAGGAAAAGAGGCTAAAATCAATCATAGAAAGTGATGATTGTGCTATTTGTGACAAACTTGGAAGGACAGAAGACTGGGCCGTCATTTCTTTAAAGAGGTACAATGATGGCTGGAGAGAAGGCTCAGTAGTTAAGAGCACACACTGCTCTTGCAAAGGACCCTTATTTAGTTCCTAAGTGTCCACATCTGGAAGCTCACAACCACCTGCAACTCCAGCACCAAGGGGATCCGCCGCCCTCTGCTGGCCTCTACAGGCACTGCCCACAATTAAAAAATAAAACCAATCTTTAACAAGAGATGCAATGAGAGTAAAAGGGTAAAGATATTGACCCACAAATATATAGAACCATAAGAGTTGTAGAAACTCAAGGGGATTCATTTTCATAGTATGAACATCAGGACCACACCACTCCTTCAAGGCCTGAGAGAAATGTAGGTTGGCATACACATGACCTTCGGAGTTGACTGGGTTTCAATAATCTATACAGGGCTCTAAGTCCAAGGAGAAAGATGTGTAACCTATTCTGAAGACAATGTAAAATAAAAATGGATCTGTTTCTCTGTAAATGCTGAAGTGTAATTAGATGTTTTCCCTGCATTTCATCTTAATTAACAGAGAGGTTGCACTACCAATTTTAGCTAATTAGAAGAGGCCCTTTTACACATGTTTTTGTTTTGTTTTGTTTTTTTGACACAGGTTTCTCTGTGTAGTTTTGGAGCCTGTCCTGGAACTTGCTCTGTAGACCAGGCCGGCTTCAAACTCACAGAGATCCACCTGCCTCTGTCTCCCAAGTGCTGGGATTAAAGGTATGCACCACCATCACCCAGCTCTACACATGTGTTTTTAAAAAGGAAATGTTTCTGGGGTTAGGTGAGCATCCAGACAGATTCCAAAGCAGGAGGAGGTAACACTAAGAGGACATCAAAATTTTTAGGGGCAAGTCTCTGAACTTGGTAAAGTATATAGTTTATATGTATGTATATATATATATTTTTTGTTTTTTTTGTTTTTTGTTTTTGTTTTTCGAGACAGGGTTTCTCTGTGGCTTTGGAGGCTGTCCCGGAACTCACTCTGTAGACCAGGCTGGCCTCGAACTCACAGAGATCCGCCTGCCTCTGCCTCCCGAGTGCTGGGATTAAAGGCGTGCGCCACCAACGCCCGGCTTTTCTATGTATGTATATTTTTAAGATTTATTTATTATATATACAGTGTTCTGCCTTCATGTGTGCTGCATGCCAGAATAGGGCACCAGATCTCACTAAAGATGGTTGTGAGTCACCATGTGGGTACTGGGAATAGAACTCAGGATCCTCTGAAAGAGCAGCCAGTGCTCTTAACCACTGAGCCATCTCTCCAGCCTCATGGTTTATATTTTTATGAGCATCTTTTCTTTCCTTCTATTTTTTTCCTGAGGCAAGGTCTCATGTATTCCAGACTGGCCTTGAACTCACTATGTAGCCAAGGATGCACTTGAACTCCTGGTCCTCCTGCTTCTACCTACTGTGCGGGCATTCTAGCCGGTGTGACCACACTTGCTGTATATGGTGCTGGGGAGTAAGCCCAGGGCTTCTTCTTGCATGCTGGGCAAGCACTCTATCAATTAAGCTTCATCCCAGCCCTAGGCTATATTCTTAAGCTGGCCTACTGTGAATTTTTAAATGTATAATTTAGAATATGTCTGTTATGATATTGTAGGTACATTGGATAAAGGAGGAAATATTGGTGGGTGAATTATACTTGTGCACTAAAATAAAACATTTTAAATATTTCTCCATTAGAGACTTGAATGAATCATCATTTTTCACTTATGGCCTAAGAATGATCATAAAAATTTCACTTTGGAAAGTAGGGGATGGCAATATTACTGTCAAAGAAAGTAGAATTTAAGGAAAGAGTGTCACATGAACCCTAAAGTGTTGTTTAATGTATATGAGGAGGAACATATTCTGGAGTTAATTTGAAAAAATGTCTAACCCCCTTGAGGATCAGCTCGGTGAATCCTGAGAGTCCATGGTGGGCTCCGGGGTGAGAAGTCCTGATGTTGATGGTGCTGATGTTGATGGTGCTGATGTTGATGGTGCTGATGCAAGCCTTGCTTGCCAAGAGCCTCCCTCACCTCTCTCCTATATCCATGCTCTTCAGAGTATGATGCAGCTCTTGTTAAGAGGGTGAAGTCTCTGAAACTAGGTTGATTTTTGTGGCTTTTCCTCTTTAAAAAAAACATTTTTAATGATTTATTTTTATTTCCTGTGCATTGGTGTTTCCCTGCATGTATGTCTGTGTGAGGGTTTAGATTTCCTGGAACTGGAGTTACAAACAGTTGTGAGCTGCCATGTGGGGCCCTGGGAATTGAACCCAGGTCCTCTGGAAGAACAGCCAGTGCTCTTAACCGCTGAGCAGTCTGTTCAACCCCTTTTGTGACTTCTTTAGCAAACCAAATGTGTTACAGATGATTGTTGCCAGTTCCCAGATAAGGTACGACAGAAAATAGGCATTGTTCATTAAAGAATGAATAGTCACTTTTATTATGTTTACTTATTTCCTTATTTTGTGTCTAAGTATATGGGCACACGCTTGCTATGGTCTCTCTCTTGCTATGGTCTCTGTTTCTGTCTCTCTGTCTCTGTCTCTGTCTCTGTCTCTCTCTGTCTCTGTCTCTGTCTCTCTCTCTCTCTGTGTGTGTGTGTGTGTGTGTGTGTGTGTGTGTGTATGTGTGTGTGTGTGTGTGAGGGACAGAGGACACCTTTCTGGAGTTGGTGCTTTCCTTCCACTGTATGAGTTTGAAGGACTGAACTCTGGTTGTCAGGCTTGGCAGCAAGTGCCTTTATGCACTGAGCCATCTTTCCAGTTCAACAGTCACTCTTTTGACCAAAATAAAGAGATGTTTGGCATTTTGTGAGTGCCACAATAACCTTACTATTGCCTTCTTAGGCAAAATTATGACATGACTAACTTCATCTTATTTATTAGTTTGCTATTTATTTGTTATTTTTCTGAGACAAGGTTCATCAAAGTCCAGGTTGGCCTCAAACTCTCCATGCAGCTGAAGAGGGCCTCGAACTCCTGGTCTTCCTGCTTTCCCTTCCCAGGCCGGGGGATGACAGGTTGCCATCTGCACACCGGCATACTTGATCTCCTTTAGTCTCATGGTAACGTTGTTTGAGGTTGGTGCTCTGAGGTAGTTTCTGCCCCAAGTGTAATCACACTTTCTGACTTCCTGGGTGTGTCCCACCAGGGTCAGGCAAGGCCCAATGTCCACTATTATTGAGTATTTTCTGAGAGTTCAAAGTGGCTAAATAATCAAAGAGATTTTATTGAAAATGAAGAGATTATTACTGCATATTACTTAGAAACCCAAGAAAGTCGGTGAGGACTATTAGAAGGGTTTGAAGAGAGGACTCAGTTGGTAAATACTTTCTGTGCAAATGGAGGACCTTCTGTTCTCAAGTCAAAAGCTAGGCTCTGGGCCGGGCGTTGGTGGTGCACGCCTTTAATCCCAGCACTCGGGAGGCAGAGGCAGGCGGATCTCTGTGAGTTCGAGGCCAGCCTGCCTATTCGGTGAAGTTCCACACCAAAGAGAGACTCTGCTGGAAATACAAGTGGAGAGTGCATGAAGAATAGCACTCAAGGCTGTCTTCCGACTCCCATATACACGTGCACACATGTGTGCACTTCACCCGTACACTGCCCTCCCAGTTTCTCATAAGGAGGCTCGGTAAGACGATTGGTGTGAAAATCAGGTTGTAAGCCCCAGAGCGTATCCTTTGAAATCAACATGCATCAGAAAATACAAGACAGCAATTTAAAAAACTAGTACAAGCCGGGCGTTGGTGGTGCACGCCTTTAATCCCAGCACTCGGGAGGCAGAGGCAGGCGGATCTCTGTGAGTTCGAGGCCAGCCTGGTCTACAGAGTGAGTTCCAGGACGGCCTCCAAAGCCACAGAGAAACCCTGTCTCGAAAAAAAAAAAAAAAAAAAAAAAAAGCTCGTACAAAACAAATGTTTAGGGATAAATGAAGCAGTTGGGCATACATAAATAAAATTGTAAAGCATCACCGAAGGACCTGAAGGAAAATGTGAATAAATGATAAGGCCATTTGAATTCTAATAAAAACCACCAGGTTTTTATAGTAGATGATATCAATCTAAGGCCACCTGTGCAGCTTAATAAAGGGTGAGGAGACTTTGGAAGACCTAAGAGTGACTGACACAGCTAGAGAAAAGATTTGTTATTAAAACAGTATGCTTCTTGCGTAGCCATCAAAGTAGTCATCAGTCAGGCTTAAGGATACGTATTTGTTACTGGACAAAGTTGTCATTTAAATGGATTTATGTTTCTTCTTATTATAGGAAGCCGCAAAAAGGCATCACTCCCCCACAACAATGAGAAAATCAGCAGGCAAATGCCAAAAATTCTGACGCCTGTTGAATCCTTTGGATATATGGTTAGTGATGACCCGTGTAACCTAATCCAAGAGAGAAGAGTTTGGTGTAAGGGGCCTGCGCAGCCTAACGGTCAGAGAGGATCGAGTGTGAGAAGAAATCAGCTAAGCTGTAAAACATGGTTGAAATCCATGTAGATCAGGAATAGCTGAGGGCGCAGCGGAGTTGACATTCGGCTGCAAAGTCTGTTCCAGAGCTTTCCGGAGTTCCCACAGAATGTTCACAAGGAATATCGGAGGCAGCGAGAAACTGTTCTCTCCAGCTGCTATCGAGACAGGTAGGTGCCTGTCAATGACTACGGAACGCAATATGCCTTCTCATTACCTTAAGTTTTTACAGACAAGCTGAGGTTTCACACGTGGAGAGAAAACGCAGGGGGAACAGGCAATTAAAGGGCATTAAGTGACGATGGTAAGGACACGATCACACGATGTAGCTGAATTAGATGCAGCTGTGGTCTAGGTGCGTGCACAGCTTGCCACCGGAGCAAAACTGTTTTTGACTCAGGCCTGCTCGTTACAGATGTTAAGGTCCAAAGAAGGTCTGGCACAGGGCACGGGACAGATGGGGAACACAGTGGGATGCATTGGGAAAGTAGCTGAAGCAAAGGGAGCCACTTTATAACGCCGCCCTCCCCCGTGTTTAAAATGGGAGGGAAGGAGAGAGCATTCTTTTGGGAGTTCATGCTTAAGGCTCAGTTGGGTAGGCACTTCTCTGTAGGGAGACCCAGAGAAGCTGAGTGTTAGATGTAGTCTCCCTTCCTCATTTGCTTGCCCTTAAGCCAACGTGCTAATTGCCTCTGTTAGTGGGCAGGTAGGCCGTGGCTAAGTGAAATGTGAAATGTATGGACATCTTCTATGCCGTTGAATCTTAAGCTTAGCTTTTGTGCCCTTCTCTGCCTTGGTCTGTGCTATCCTACTGCATACTTAAATAACTCCAATGGCCTTCCACAGGCTTTGGGATAAAGTCTGTACACCTCTTCTTGTCCTATAAATCCATGCCAAACTTGATTTAGTTCACACCTGACACACTGCTTTGTTAACTAGAAATCTGGGGCTGGAGAGATTGCTCAGTGGTTTAAAGTACTGGCTACTTTTCCCGAGGACCTGGGCTTGACACCCAGAACCCCCACATGGCACCTCGCAATCCAGGGGATCCAATACCCTTTTCAATACTCCCTTGGCACTATGCGTGTGGTGCATAGATGTGCATGCACTCATACACATGACCTAATAAACTGAAAAAGAACTCTGAGGGTCAGAAAAATGAAATAATTGGTCTAGGATCACAATAGCTCAACAGGTAGCAGAGTTAGAAATCAAATTCAGATTTGACTTTACAGTTGAAATCAATTTTTAAAATTGTGATAAAGTACAGATAACATAAAATTTACCATCCTAGTCATTTAAAGTGTATAATTATGTGGAATTAAGTACAGCTGGAATGCTTGCCAAATGCCAACACCAATCATTTTTGGAAGCATTTACCCATTAAATGATTACCCTCCCCACTTTCCCTCCCTGAAAGACCAGTGACCTTCAGTCTCTATGAATTTGAATATTCCAGGTATCTCAAGCTAGTGGAATTTGACTAAAGTGTGTTTATTTGTTTATTTATTATTTATAGATAGAATCTCACTGTGTATTCCTGGTGGACCTGGAGTTCACTGTGTGGCCCAGACTGGCCTTGTACTCACAGAGATCTGCCTGCCTTTGCCTCCTTAGTGTTGGTATTGAAATAGTGTGCTACCATGACCAACTTACTCTTTTTTTGTGACTGGCTTCAGGTTCATCTATATTGTAGCATGTGCCAGAATGTCTCTTTAAAGGCTGGCTTGCACTCCATTGTTGTTTTTTGTTTTCCACTATGTACTTTTTTTTTTGCCCCTTTATTGCTGATGGACACTTGGGGGATGACCACCCTTTGGCTGTTGTGAATGATGCTGCTGTGAACATTGGTTAGCAAATCTCTGAAGAGCTGCCTTCACTTTTGAGTATTTGCTTGGAAATAGTTTTCCATGCTAGTTGCTCTATGTGCATTCCCACCAGCAATGCACAGTGTCCACCTTCTCCACGTGTTTCATAGCACTTGTTGTATGTGTGTTTCTGTCCTAGCCATCATGATGGGGCAGGGCAATTCCTCATTCTGGTGTTGTGGAATATTATTATTTTTCTTAAAGACTAATTAATTAATTAAGTACAGTGCATGTATGTCTGCAGGCCAGAAGAGGGTACCAGATCTTACTATAGATGGTTTGAGCCACCATATGGTTGCTGGGAATTGAACTCAGGACCTCCTAACTGCTGAGCCATCTCTCCAGTCTGTGGAATATTATTTTAACTTGGCAAAGATGTGTTACATTTGTTTATGCTACAGAATATTGCTTTAACTGTGTAAATGTGTGTCACTTTTGTTTATGCTACATTTGTTTAATTATGAAAAGATGTGTTGCTTCTTTTTCACCTGCCTGCTTTAGGCACCTGATTGATCTAATAAAAAGCTGAATGGCCAATAGCTAGGCAGGTGAAGAATAAATAGGAGAAATCTAGGCTCAAGAGAAAAGAGAAGAGGAAGGAGAGATTGAGGGACATTCCCGGGGCCAAAAGCCAGGCAGCCATCAGCCAACCAGCTACAGAAATAGCAAGAAAGTAAGAAAAGGTAAAAAGCACCAAGGCAAAAGGTAGGTAAAGAGAAACAGGTTAATTTAAGTTAGAAGAGTTAGCCAGAAACTTGCCTAAGCAAGGCTAAGCATTCAAAACAAATAATAAGTCTCCATGTCATGATTTGGGAGCTGGTTGGTGGCCCAAAAGAAAAACCTGCTGTGTTCTGGTTCTGATTTATATTTTTTGAATGATGAGTGAAGTTGTGCATCTTTGCATATAAAAATCACAAATTCTCAATCTTGGCTTGCTTAAATATTTAATGACTTTATTTTTACCAAAGAAATAAATATTTCTAGTGTCAAGTGTCATTCTTCATTGTACTTAGACTTTTTCTTAGAATGGAAAAATAGAAGTATATCTCATATACACCATTATCAAAAAGTGGTCACCTAAAGAAAAGCTTTCAGAATAAACAGTGCTAGCCTAGATGTCTTATGTATCTTCAGCATTATAGTATAGAGCCGCACCCCTAGGTCTTGGGAATAACATCAAATACACAGGTGCTGGGGATAGTGTAGCATTGTTTTTCTTGTTGCTTTGATCAAATACCTAACATAGATAGACCCAGCTTAAGGGAGGAGGGCTTATTTTGGCTCACCGTTTGAGAGGACACAGTCAGCATGGTGAGGAAGGTATGGCGACAGGGGTGTGCAGCTGGGACTCTTTACCTCCTCACGTGGTGGTGGAAAGGGAAACAGGAAGTGGGGCTGCGCTGTAAGATCTCATGGTCGTCTTCAGTGACCCACATCCTTAAGTTGGGCTCCACTTCTGAACGGTTCTGTGACTTCCAAAACAAGGCCAACAGCTGGAAACCAGGTGTGTACACATGCGAGCCGAGGGGGACATTACAAAGGAAAAGCACAGCGACTACACAGACGCATGGCGTGTCCTTCGCATCGCCTGCATCCGTGGTGCCCTTGATTGCCGAGGGTCCTGCTCAAGTTCAGGCACAGCATCCAGAGTCCCCATATCTCGTTTCTTTCAGCCTGGAACAACAGCTCCTCAGCTTTGCACCGACATTCATGAGCTAGACACGGATGGAGATTGTAGTGTTGGAGTACCCTGAATTGAGGAGGGGTTCCCAAGCTGGATTCGTCACCCCAAGAATCAAGAGTCCACACGCCAATTGATGCAACACGCAAGAGGCTTTAATTAGGCATCTGCAGATGGGCCTCTAGGTCAGCTTTTAGACTGATTGGCCCCGAGGTTCAGTTACAATCAGCTTTTAAAGACAAAAACCACAAGCTTTTGGGAGGGGTCCCTATCTCGTGACGGGGGAAGGGGGTACGAAACTCCCGACCCAGGGAAGTAGATGTCTTCCTGACCTACAATGTTGTAAATTCCTCAAACCTTGGCATGAGTTAATTATCTCTCCCTAAGTAAATAGTGTTATCTCCTTGTTTCCCACTAGTCTTGTTTGCCCATCTCTGACACCCTGGTCAGTTCTTCACAGATGGCAGCCCATAATTGGCCTTTTGTGGATTTACAGCCCTTCTGCAATTAAGGTTGCTAAACCATACATTCCATTCTGTGGCGATTTACAGCCCTTCTGCAATTAAGGTCTCTAAACCATACATTCCATTCTGTGGTATGGCCGGTTCCTGGGATGGGGTCCTTTGTTCACTTCCCAAGTTCTCTAGTGGAGTGCCCTCCCTGTTTAAGCTTATATTTTATTTCTATAAATTCGGGGTATTTCAGTAGGGCAGGCATTTTGCAGACTCTTCCTCTCTGCTCTTCCCCTATCTCCTCATGGTGAGCTCTAAGCCACGTTTCGACTGCAGTGGCAGTGTGGTTATTTGGTTGCTGTGCGTTTAGCTTCAATTACTTAGGCTGGCCTCTGTCACCATAGCAAAGTCACACTTGATTCTTATCGTAATTAATAAATATACTGTGAGGAGATACTTTGAGACCCTGTGAATGTCTCTTTCCTTATCAACCTGTCACTTGCTAGAGTTTCAGCAGCCATTGATCTTTCATGCTTGAATTAATTACTACTATCATGGTTGTCAAGGTGTTCATCTTACTCAAGAGATTATAAAATGTTGCTATTTATTTTTACTTACACACGTACACATACACCATGTGTGAGTGTGTGTGAAAGCAAGTGTGTGTATGTATGTATGTGTGTATGTATGTGTGTGTGTGTGTGTATGTATGTATGTACGCATGTATGTATGTGCACAGGCCTGTGCACATGTGGAGGTTGGAGGAGGACATCATGTGTCCTGCTCTGTCACTTTCCACTTTATTTTCTGTAGACAGGGTCTCTTGTTGAACCTTGGCAGCCATCAAGCCCTAGCAATCCTCCTGCCTCTGCCTTCCACAGCAACAGGGTTATAAGTATGAATGAAGCCATGCCCATCTTTTTATGTGGGGGGAGATTAAAACTTAGGCCCCCTCATGTTTATGCAACAATTGCTCCTATCCACCGAACTATCTTCCCAGTCTTTGCCCGTGTCTATTTGTTTATTAAGAATCAGTTATTTTATATGCGTATGTGGTGCTTGAATGTATGTGTGCATACCGTGTGCATGCAGCAGTGGGCAGAGGCCAGAAGAGGTGTCAGACCGCCCAGAACTGGAATTAACAGGTGGCATGAGTTGCCATGTGGGTGTTGAGAACCCAAGCTGGGTCCTCTGCCAGAGCAGTAAGCATCATAATTAACCACTGAGCCATCTTTTCAGCACTGTCTGTATTTATTTCTTTATAAATTTAAAAATCGTTTCATGCGTGCGGGTGTTTTGCCTGTGTGTGTGTCTGTGTACCACATGTGTGGGTGCCTGTAGAGGCCACAAGAGGGCATTATAGTCTCTGGAACTGGAGTTGTTGCTGGAAGTTGAGCTTAGGCCCTCTAGCAGAGCCACAGTTGCTTTTAATTGCTGAGTCAACTCTCCAGCCCTTCTGTTTATATGTATTTTAATGCTCAGACTTTCCCAATTTGTTCAGTGAGAGTTTCTTCAATTTAGTTTCTTTACCTTTCTTTTCCTTCCTTCCTTCATCCCCTTCCCCTCTTTCTCTTTTTTATTTCTTCCTTTCTCTCTCTCTCTCTCTCTCTCTCTCTCTCTCTCTCTCTCTCTCTCTCTCTCTCTCTCTCTCTCTCTCTCCCTCTCTTTCTTTCTTCAGACACCTCTTCATCATTGTTTTGAACATATTCCATGCTCATCCCACTCAGTCCTCGGATTCAGTGATTTAAAGACAGCATATTTAAAGAGAACAAGTTCCTCAGTTTGTTTCATATGTACACCCTAGGCAGGCAGACCCAAGAATTCCCACTGTTACCAGTTATCAATTCCAAAAGATGTGGCGTGATTATTATAGCCACATAAGCAAGGGCTGGCTATAAGCTTGAGCATTCTCTTTTGTTTGTTTTGCCCTGGCTGTCCTGGAACTCCCCCTCCAGTCCAGGATGGACCCTGAACTCAGATCAGCCTGCCTCTACAATGCTGGGATTGTAGTGCTACCCCAGCCCTGTTTAAACTCTTTTGTTGTTGTTGTTTTTTATTTTTTTTTAACTTTTTTTTTTTTTTTTTTTTTTTTGGTTTTTCGAGACAGGGTTTCTCTGTATTGTTTTGGAGGCTGTCGGTCCAGCCTGGCCTCGAACTCACAGAGATCCACCTGCCTCTGCCTCCCAAGTGCTGGGATTAAAGGCGTGTGCCACCACCGCCCGGCTGTTGTTGTTGTTGTTAATTTGAGCATTCTTTATGGTGGAGGCCACATCTATCCGAACTGAAGGTTGTTGAGCTCCCCTAACACTCTCTGTAACACTCACGAGCTGCCATCATGGGATCTTTGTCTAGAGAGAAGACAATTTTCACACATTTCTCTATAACAGCAACGGAAGTAAAAAGACACTAGGTTTAGACTTCCCTTTATTGTATACAGGGGTGTTCATCACTCCAACCTTTAATGGCTGAACTCAAAATAGCCCATATTTTTGCATTGATGGAGAATGAGCCACCGAGGGCCAGGAAATATCCACTGTAACAACACTTCAGTCATGTAATTTAATATAATTACTAATTAAATGAAAAGAGAATAGAGTCCCTAACAACAATAACAATCACTGTACTTTTTGTTGGAGCATTACCTAGGAGAAGGTCTCCTGCAAGAGCCGTGTTTACAGAAGGGGCTGTGGCTGGCTCACTTTTGCTGAATAAGGCACGGGGACTGCTTTGGGGGCAGCCGCACACCTCATCTTATATCCCATCTCTACTGCCATTCTTGTGCGGTTTCAAGGAATTTATTCGCTAGTGCCGAAGGCAGCATACCATTGAAAATCAAGGTAGGGAACAGGTGGGGGGCACTTGTCAGCCACTTTATTTCAGCACAGAGAAGGGCTCAAGCAATCACCTTGTCCTTGGTGAGGGTCACACTGACACTGTCTCGGGAAGGGTGAAGTTCTTTCTCAAGGATCTGTGAGTGTATGTGTCCTTGTTGAGTGGCTTTCAGTGGGAACATGTAACAGTGTACACGGAGCACTAAGGGGTATAGAAGAGAGACACGGCATCACTGACAGAAACTTTAAGAAAATTCCATTTCTGCTGGGAGCTGAAATCAAAGAAGACTTTGACCAAGCAACGGATGGAGGGAAGGATGCTCCAGGCTGTAGATAAAGGCTGTGCGCGAGTGTGAAACCCAGTTGTTTTGAGAAACTAAAGGAGTTTCAAAGTGTGTGGAGTAAGTACACAGAGGGGGAATGTGTCTTCTGAAGGTCATTGAGGGTACGAACATTCAGGTGTTGGCTCGCATTTGAGAAACAAATGGCAATTTGTATTTGTTTTCTTTTTTTTTCTTTCAAAGCTACGGTCTCGTGTAGCCTAGGCTGGCTCAAGCTCGCCATGTAGCTGAGGATGGCCTATTACAGGTGTGTATCACAACATCCTGCCCCTGTTTCTGATCTGTTTTGTTGTTCCCATTGATACTAATGGACAATAACTTCGTATAAGCTGCAAGTTAAAACAGCAGAAAGCTTTGGAAGTGAGGGACTCACTGTTTATTTCTTGGAAGGTTTATCTTCTCGAAGTCAACTAGGTCTGATGATCTTCAGAAGACATTTTGTTTGTTTTTACTTTTTTCCTAACAAAGGAAACTGTGTCTTTAAAGCACTTTTCAATTTCTCTCTGGGCTTCCCTTCTTCCCCTGGTTTCTTTACTCCTAACGAGCTAACATAAAGCAGTCCTTTGTCTTTTAAGCTGTTGATTTACCCTGAACAGAGTGAAGGCAAGATGTTATTAAAACAAAACAAGTTCCAATTGAGCTGCTAATAAATGCTGAAATGCACCCACATCACCGTATTGATTACCTCCTGCCAACAAAGGCAAACACAAGCTTGTAAGGCAAGCTGCCTGTGGAAATGAAAGGTTTAATTAGATGAAAACAGGATGAGCTAGAAGATCTGCCTCACGTGGTCATCAGACGATTGCATTTCATAACTGGCTCTTTGAGACGGGCCCTTCTCTTGAGCCTTTTTCACTTGAAGATTTCCCTACGGTGCATCAGGACGAGTGCATCTCTAGTAAATTTCCCCCTGAGCGCTTCACCAGCTCAGGGTTGCGGACTAGAATGAGGCCTGTCAGGCCATAAATCAGGTGTGATGCAATGTCTTGGAATTCAGAGTTAGCAAACCAGAGCAGGAAGACTGGTTCTTCTGCAGCCCAGGCCCATCTCCAAATGTTGAAGATGGGAGAAGAGGCTTTGGCGGAACAGGTGAGAAGAGGCCCATAAATTCCTAGATTCTTCAGAACTCCAAGTGTCTGGATTGAAGCCTAGAGCCTGCAACTGTACTGATATTTAGTGATGGGAGTGTATTGAAAAGCCAGTGTTCACTGCACGGGAGTGCTTCTGACTCCCAACGGTTGTATTGAAAAGCCAGTGTTCACTGCACAGGAGTGCTTCTGACTCCCAACATTTGTATTGAAAAGCCAGTGTTCACTGCACGGGAGTGCTTCTGACTCCCAACGGTTGTGTAGCTTTTCAAGACAGTGGGGAAAACAGCAGTAGAAGCATTGCCTGAGGCAGCCATGTAGCTCTCAGCTGCATACAGGTTTTGCTGCATGAGGCCCCAAGTGCATCATTAACCTTTGAAGGATGAGTTTCCTCATTCACACATGTGGATGTGGAGGGTGGTTTGTTAGGAAGATGGAATGCGATAGTGTAAATGATTCCTTTCACATGGTAATTGGGTACACAGAGCACTAGGACCATCGGTTCTCACAGTAATAGTTCACTATTCATATTTACAGACCCTGAGGAGACATCGTTTCTTCTATTCATAGCAGCTTGGCCAGGCTTTATACCTCAGGTTCCTCTGAGGCAGGGGGTGTAGCTGAGTCATAGGGTGATTGCATAGCATGCCCAAGTCTCAAATTCAATTCCAGCATCATTTATACAACAATAAAAAATTAAACGTTAAAAATGTTCCTCTGATGTAGCGATGCATGCATTTAATGCCAGTACTTGGGAGGCAGGGGCAGGCAGATCTAAGAGGATTGCTTTAACATATCACATGATCTAGATTTTAAAGCACCCTTATAAGATTGGGTACTACTGTCTATACCATAGATTAAGAAGGAAGATCGCAGAGTCTGGACAGATGGTGAAGTGGTTAAGAGAGTCAGAAGTTCTGGATTTGACTGGCAGCATCCACGCAGCAGCTCACAACTGTCCTAACTCTGATTCCAGGGGGAATCTGGCACCCTCTTCTGGCACCTTCTGGCATTGAACACATGTGGTGCAAAGATACACATGCAATCACTATATGAAATAAAGGAAGTCCCTGGTGTGCTTAGTAGGACACACCTTTAATCCCAGCACTCGGGAGGAAGAGGCAGGAAGGTCCCTGTGAATTTGAGCCCAGCCCGGTCTCCACAGTGAGTCCTGGGCCAGCCAGAGTTACTTGGTGAGACTGTCCAAAAATATAAATGAATAAATAAAAATTAAAAAGATTCCTGTGCATTAAAGGATCATCTATGTTTCAGTTCTTAGACATTCAGTGAGGTTTCATAGTCATCTCACAAATATATATTTTATTTATTTATTTATTTTTTGGTTTTTCGAGACAGGGTTTCTCTGTGGCTTTGGAGGCTGTCCTGGAACTCGCTTGGTAGTCCAGGCTGGTCTCGAACTCACAGAGATCCGTCTGCCTCTGCCTCCCGAGTGCTGGGATTAAAGGCGTGCACCACCAACGTCCGGCTTACAAATATATATTTTAAAATATTGAATTATTTAAACAATAAGCTTGTTTTGGGATTGTACAAGACTAATAGCTGCTCACAGGTATGAATGGTGGTCTAGAGCGCAGGTGCAGGACTAGACAGCTGGTGCCTGTGGTCTCTAACCCTGCTGGCTCTCTCATTGCCACTGATGATGAAATGACTGGACTGCATGAATCAGGTGAGTTAGTGCTGGCATAAGGCCTAGCACAAAATACATGGTCAACAAATCCTAACTAGTACTGAACAAAATATATATAGCAACCCTAACCCAAAAGCAAACAATTAAAACCCCCCCAGAAAATCCAAGAGTGCTTTTTTTCCCATGACCTTCCATAACTACTGTAAGTTCTTAGAAAGTACACACTGGGGGCTGGAGAGGTGACTCAGAAGTCCTGAGTTCAATTCCTGGTGCCCTCTTCTGGCCTGCAGGCATATATGAAGGTAGAATGTTGCATAATAAATAAATCTTTTTTTTATTTTTTAGTTTTTGAGACAAGGTTTCTCTGTATTGCTTTGTAGGCTGTCCTGGAACTCGCTCTGTAGACCAGGCTGGTTTTGAACTCACAGAGATCCACCTGCTTCTGCCTCTGCCTCCCGAGTGCTAGGATTAAAGGCGTGCGCCACCAACGCCCGGCATAATAAATAAATCTTAAAAAATAAAGTACATACTGTGTGAGCAGCAGTGCCTACATTATGGGACAAACATACTTACTACTCAGCCCATTTTGTGTACCTTGAAGGGGACTCCACGTGGTGGGGGCTCCCTTTCAGACCTGAATTAGGCACAAATCACACCCAAAACGCCTGTTTTCACAGAGAGATCCTTTGTTAAGAAAAGTTAAAGTGGTTGCTTTCTGACTCAGGCAGAAAACAGCAGCAAATGACATTGCATGTGTGATTTTTAAGAGGAGAAGAAGGGGAGGTCTGTGTTAGAATGGGCTAGGATGTGGTGGTAAAGGAGGGACGGGACAAGGGGGAAGGGGGCAGGGGTATTTGTCCCAGAGGGACAATGGAATGCCTCTGGGTGTGGCACATGGGATATGGGGTTTATAAAGGTAAAATGGGAACCCCCGTGTTAGGATGTGGTGTTTAATTTTAATTGGGCATGTTAATTAGGTGAGGCTTCTGATAGCTGGACTTCAGTACTTTGATAACTTGGACCTTGGTAGTCAGCCTCAGGAGGAGGAAGTGGCCGAATGAGGGAATAGACCCTGGTGGCTAGCTTTGGGAATGTAACCTAATGGTTTTTAGCAAGGCAGAGGGAGTGCGGGAGAAGGAAGGGCAAGGTCCCTCAGGGCCATGTGCTCCAGTGGGCTGGAGTCCTTCAAACCTAATGAGTCCTCCTTTAGTATGTATTCATCTTACCAGGGAGCCCCACTAAAGCTGGCAAAGACATTAGCATATATCTGGAAGCTGTAAAAGGGTTTCGAATGTTTGCTCTGTTTTGAACATCACAAACCAGCTCTGCGCTTCGCACATGTTATCTCACGTGGTTAATACATCAGTTCCGGTTCTTTCTCTCCCCCTCACCCCTTCTTTTCAGACGAGCAAATAAGATCAGTGAAGTTAGGCAATTCCTCCAGTATCACACAGACATGGAGCTAAGATTCACAGTTGGTCTCTTTGACTTCTAAGTTGACATTTTCTTTATTTATCTCCCCCTTGCCCCCCAAGACAGGGTTTCTCTGTATAACAGCCCTAGCTGTCCTGGAACTAGTTCTGTGGCACAGGCTGGCCTTGAACTCACAGAGATCCGCCTGCCTCTGCCTCCAATTGCTGGGATTAAAGGCGTGTGCCACTATGGCCCAGCTCAAGGTCACATTTTATGTACGACCTTACAAGCCTGATGCTGAATTAAGAGTAGTCATCCCACACAAAACAGAGACAAATGATCTATATTTTATACTAGACAGCAACTCCCATACTCTGGGTTCAGACTTCTTAACACAATAATTTGACATTAAAGCTAGAGTTTCTGCTATGTATTTTTTAAAAAAAAATTATTCATTAATTTTTTACATTCCAATTCCAGTTCCCCCTCCCTCCTTTCCTCCCACTCTCCTCCCCCACCTCCCATCTGCTCCTCAGAGAGGGTAAGGCCTCCCCTAGAAAGTCTACTAAGTCTGTCCCATCATCTCATTGAGGCAGGACCAAGGTACCTCTCTACCCCCCACATCCCTGTGTCCAGACTAGGCAAGGTATCTCTCCATACAGAATGGGCTCCACTAAATCAGTTTGTGCATTAGTGGTAGATCTTGGACCCACTGCCAGTGGCCTCATATATTGTCCCAGCCACACCATTGTCACCTATATTAAGGGAGTCTAGTTTGGTCTTATGCAGGTTCCCCAGTTGTCAGACCTGAGTCAGTGATCTCTCACTAGCTCGGGTCAGCTGATTCTGTGAGTTTCCCCATCACGGTCTTGACTCCTTTGTACATATTATCACTCCTTCCTCACTTCAATTGTACTCCAGGAGCTTGGCCCATTGGTTAGTCGTGGGTTTCTGCTTCTACTTCCATCTGTTTCTGGAAGAGGCTTCTGCTACTTATTAAACAGCTTCCCAAGAAGTTCTGATAGCTTCTCTTTAAGAATAGATTTATTCGCCGGGCGGTGGTGGCGCACGCCTTTAAACCCAGCACTCGGGAGGCAGAGGCAGGCGGATCTCTGTGAGTTTGAGGCCGGGCTGGACCAATAGCCTCCAAAACAATACAGAGAAACCCTGTCTCGTAAAAACCAAAAAAAAAAAATAGATTTATTCATTTGTGTGAGTGTTTCGATCGTATGCGTGTGTGTACCATGTGCAGGCCTGGCTCCCATGGAGTCGAGAAGAGGGAGTCAGAATGCCCTGGACCTGGAGTTATAAATGCTGGCCAGCCACCGTGTGGGTGCTGGGATCAGAACCCAGGTCCTTTACAAAAGCAGTGATTTCTCGGAACTTCTACATATCCCTTTAGCACCTCTAACAGGTTATTCCTAAAAGCTGTGTTTTTATTATCAAGCATAGGCATGCACGTCTGTATGTGGGTATGTGCCGAGGCTGGAGGCATCAGATGCTGCAGCTGGAGTTACAGCTGTTGGTGAACTGCCTGGCATGGGTGCCGGAACAGAGCTTGGGTTCTCTGGAAGAGCTGTAAGTGCTCTTAAACACTGAGTTCTCCAATGGCCTTTAAGAAGCCCTTAGAGTGTCTGTCTGTTCAGACCATTTCTCCATGCCTTCTTACACTGAATTTGTGTGACACTGGGGCTGTGTTTCTTTACTGTCTGGCCCCTTCTTATAAAAATAATGCAAATCATTCTTGTTTTTTTTCAAGTGGAATTTCAAGTCAAGAGGAGCAGATGAGCAGTGTCAAGGAAAACACCCTTTGCAGACAGTGACAGGACCTGTCCTCCAGAAATGAGGCGACAAAGATCACATAAATGTTTAATTTTACTGTGCATATTAATGTAACCATTGAACACACTTGGCTCCGAAGCAAATTACTTGTCACAGAATGAGGATGAGGGGCACGTGCTGTGTCTGGCATGTACTTACTTACATGCAATAGACAAAGAATGGAAACAATCTTCATGTCTTCCCAATGAAGAAAAAGAAAAAAAGTACCTGTATATAATGCAAAACAGTTCATCTTAAAACAGATGGGATCTTTCTATTGATACCAACATGGATGGGACTGAAGATTAATATAAGCCAGGCACAGGAGGTGCATACTGTCTTATTGCACTCATGTGAGGACTGTAAAATAGCTGTTGAGGGCAGAATGGTGGTTACCAGATTCTGGAGAGAGTGGCTGGGAAAAGTTGACTAGTGAGTACTATGCTATAGTTAATTTAACACAGGCATGAAGTTCTGTATTCTAGTGTGGACTACAGTGACTGTGGACAATGGTGATGCACTGTGTTGTGATGTTTAATCTTGGCTGTCAACTTGATTAAATCAACTAAGAGACAAGCCTTTGGGTGGGTCTGTGAGGATTCACTGGGGACATCGTGGCACCTTCCAGTCTCAGTCCAATTATTAGGAGGCCCAATGGAAAAGCTGCTGCTTCTCATCTGCCTGCCTTCACCCTTTGTGGTTGAGTCCATCTTCGACATTACTGTCTCTGCCATCATCCTTCAGTGACCTTGGAGCCCAGCTTTTCGGGCTTTCCAGTGTTGACTGAGACAGTGGCTCTCCAGGAATCCTCCAGTCTTCAGTGCTAGATTGGAATCCCTGAGGCACTCATTCTGGTGGACTGAGCAGGTATGGGGTTCTCAATCTCTCCAGGGTAAAGACAGTCATTGTTGGACTACTCAGGCCATAAGTGTAAACTAATCTAATATATCTCCATTTGTAATATATATTTTTTCTGTTCTCCAGAGAACCCTAATGCAGACACACACACACACACACACACACATTTTTAAATGATACAAGAGGGTCTAGAGAGATGGCTTAGAAGTTAAGAGCACTAGCTGCTCTTCCAGAACCCAGGTTTGATCCTAGTACCCATATGGTGACTCATAACCATCTATAACTCCTGTACCAGAGATCTGATGCCCACCTCTTGCCTCCCTGGGCACCAAGCATGGATTTGGTATACAGACATATATATATATATACACATATATGTATATATATATAGTTTTTCTTTTTTTTTTTTGGTTTTTACGAGACAGGGTTTCTCTATATTGTTTTGGAGGCTGTCGGTCCAGCCTGGCCTCGAACTCAGAGATCCACCTGCCTCTGCCTCTTGAGTGCTGGGATTAAAGGCATGTGCCACCACCGCCCGGCTTATATATTGTTTTTAAAGACAGGGTTTCTCTTGTGTCTTTGGAGGCTGTCCTGGTACTAGCTCTGGTAGACCAGGCTGGTCTCGAACTCACAGAGATGTGCTTGCCTCTGCCTCCCGAGTGCTGGGATTAAAGGTGTGTGCCACCACTGCCTGACTACAAATAAATATTTTAAAAAGCCATAAGAAAAGATTCTGAATGCCGCCTTTGAATAATACATAATATTGTAGATGGACATTTCTGACTGCCAGTTCACAAATAACAACACGGAGACTTACTAATTATGAAAGTTTGGCCTTAGTTTAGGCTTGTTCTTATCTAGTTCTTATAACTTAAACTAGCCAATATCTTTTTTCTTAGTTAAAGGTTTTATTGCTGTGAATTTATTGCAATTCTCATAAATAAAACATTTAATTGGAGATTTAATCTTACAGTTCAGAGGTTCAGTCCATTATCATAATGATGGGAACATGGAGGCATGCAGGCAGACATGGTGCTGGAGCTGAGAGTTCTACATTTTGCAGACCAAAGGAAGTTGATTCAACCCATATCTTTTAATCTGTGTCCTTTTCTGTGACTTGGTTAGCTTTATTCTGTAATGCCTGCCCATCCTGCTTCCTTTGCATTTGGCTGACAACTCTACGTTTCTTCCTCCCAAAGGCCTCTCTGTCCCCAGAAGTCCCACCTAGCCTCTTCCTGCCTAGCTATTGGCCATTCAGTTCTTTATTAAGCCAATCAGAAGGTACCTTAGCAAAGATACATCTTTACAGTGTAAGCAAATATTCTGCAACACAATATGTATGTGCCTCATTATGAGCCTTGTTCAACAGCTCTGCTGGCAACTTTTGCCTGTAGCTCAGGGGTAAATGAGACCTTTGAGAGAAGCTGAGGAAGGATGAAGATACTAAATTCTAGTGAGAAGAAGGGGAAATAAATACTTTAAAAATAGATTCAGTGTATGTGTAGTGTGTGTGTGTGTGTGTGTGTGTGTGTGTGTAAGTGCTTGTGGAGGCCACAAGGGGGCATTGTATCCTCTGGAGCTGGAGTCATAGTGGGTTGTGAACAGCTCTATGTGGGTGCTGGGAGCTGGATTCAAGTGTTTGTTTTTGTTTTTTTGAGACAGGGTTTCTTTGTGGCTTTGGAGGCTATCTTGGAACTAGCTCTTGTAGACCAGGCTGGTCTTGAACTCACAGAGATCTGCCTGCCTCTGCCTCCTAAGTGCTGGTATTAAAGGCATGCACCACCAATGCCTGTCCCTGGACTAAAGTCTTGTGATAGAGCAGTAAGCATTCTTAACTGCTGAGCCATCTCTCCAGCTCCCAGAAAGTAAACACTTTCTGAAGTTTTCTGATATACTAGGTACTCAAATAGCATAACTCACTACTTTTGGGGTGAGAGGCAGAGAAATTGAAGGAGTCTTGGGAAATTTTTAGCATTACAGTCTTGGAGAATACTTCTTTCTTCTGTTGAAGTGGGAATCAAGAGTTTTATTCTGTCCACATTGTAAAGAGCACACTATACATCTATACAGGTTCCCCAAAATGACCTGGGCTGGCCGGGGTGGGGAAGGCCCTGTGTGTTCATTTGTTTCTTCAGGGTGGTTGTGAGAAATGTAAAAATTGTCTTAAAGGACAAAAATCCTCCCCCCCCCAAACACTCTGACACTGTGCTAACATGACATTCCTCTCTCCAGCTCTGTGCCTAGCATTTTCATTTTGAGAAGCTCTGAAGTTCTCTCCTGCCCTTTCTAAGCAGAAGGGAAAACAATTCAACAGGAGGATAACCATTCTTACTGTTCACTGCCAAACTGCGTCTGCAGACATAGTTTTAAAAGCAGATCTATAAGGTACATGCAGTTTTCAGAGCAAAAGCCAGTGGGGTGCAGGTAGGGGAGATGGTTCAAAGACTGTATGTGCTCACAGGCGAGGACACCTATGCCCGGGCTAAAGGCTGTTGTTCAGATTGTTGGAGACCACTAAAAACCAGAGCCATCTCGGTCCTGCCCTTTTGGAGCCAAGAGAAAAGAGGGTGGACTTGTTAGGATTCCCCAGATCATTGCTCAGGAGGGTATGCACCCTCCTGCCCATTGATAGGGAAGGTTTTGTCAAGGTTGGATGTGGGTGCCCAGCTGGGAGAGAATGGTCAAAGGTCAGCAGAGTGGGATGTCAGGCTGGGCATCAAAAGATGAATTCTGTCTACCTCATACTTTGAGGCTTGGTCCACTGCCTGCAGAACAAGTAGGGCATAACAGTTGCTCCCAGAGGGTGTTCCATAGATATAGAATATCTGGAACAGGCAATTCCCCAGGGGCAGAAAGTGGATTATTGGCAGCCAGCAGAAAGATTGGGGGAGAAATGGCTTCATGGGATCTTCTTTTAGGGTAATGCAAATATTTTGGACCTAAATAGTAGTGGCTATTGCCTATGAAATGCTCCTAAACTGCACAACTTAAAATGGCAAATTTTATATGGATTTTATTTTAAAAAATAGAAGCAGAAGTAAGTAAAATCCATTCTCAGGTGACCTATGCAAAGCAGCTGACCCCAGACAGACTCTGTGGCTGGTGGAACACTCTTGACTGAGTATCATGGTATGCAGAATTCTCAGTCCCTTTGATCCGCTCTGTCCTTACTGCTGGCTGAACCAACAGATCTTGCATCAGCCCTGAGTGCGGATGAGTGTGGGTTTTCTGAGGCTTTTGGCCTAAGTGTGGATCCTGACGCTGATGGTGTGAATTGGATGCTGAGTAACCTCTCAGCCTCTGTTTCCTCACTTGCCAAATAGTAGTGGCACTCTCCCTTGTAGAGTTTTCTATAGCATGGACTGAGTATGGAAAATAAGTGTCTCAAAGTGGCACATGGCATGGCCCTCCAGTGGAAGTGGATATTATCAGTAACAATTCTATTATCTCTTATATATGCCTGAGCATGGATGGCAAAATCCAGAGCTAGCAAGATTGGATTTTTCAACCAAGTCCTTTAAACAAAATCTCAACCCTAACAGCCTACTACAAAAGGTGGTGGATGGCCATTGATCGCCTGTAGATCTTCATCTGGGGTAGAGCCTTGTTAGTTTGCCCCATCCGCACTGTCATGCGGATGGATGATTTTTCCATTGTTCAGGTCTTGTTTAGACAACCATATTTTTCAGACTCTAAGGGTACAGTTTCCTTGTCATGTCTAGAGCTAGCAGTAAGTGCCCTGATCTTTGTCCCTTTAAAATCTTCCTGCTTATTTGATGTTCCCTGAGCCTTAGGTTTAAAGATCAACATTTCACTATCCATTCTCTGCATTTTGACCAGTTGTGGCTTTCTGTAATAGTCCCTCTTTACTACCGAAGATGCTTCCTTGATGAAGGCTGAGATAGACACTCATCTGTGGGTATAAGGATAAGCATTTAGAATGCAGTTAGAAGTCGGTTACTGGTTTAGAAAAATAGCAGTAGTAGGCTTTCCTCTAGAGTCCGTGACCTCTCTACCCACAAGTAATTGGTCAGTTTTGCAATATCATGCATGGCTTTCCTTCTGTTGAGTATGTGCTAAGTCCTGTTAGACATATGTTGGTTACTTCCAAGACACAAGTGCTGCTATTGCACCATTGGGGAACCGCTTGCCTGGCTGCCTATTGTGCTTCATTGGCTTTGCCTCTGAGGAGGACTATTGATTCCCCTCCCTCCCTTGGTAGCTTGTAAAGTGCCTTTGGATACTGTGAGAGATAGTCCTCAGTGAAGAGGCTTGGGAAGTCATTTTAAATAGCTATTTACAGGGAGTTTGCAATGGTGTGGGAATTATATGTCATTATGTAATAATCTCAAGTGGAAAAAACATCAAACTTGTACATACAGTTTGGACTCAGCTATATTGAAACTTCCCTAATATTACACTCAGAAAAGTGAAAAAAAAAACTAGGAGGAAATTTCCAAAATACACAGTGGCTGTCTTTTTAGTTTCTAGAGCTTACTAGTGTTACTTTAATGAGAGTGTATCTCTCTTTTAACAGAAACCCTAACTATATGAAAAAAGAAAAAAAAGGAACCATTTTCCAATGGAAGAGTTACCTATTATGCACCAGCTAAACCAACAAGTTAGAACTCCATAGATTCTTAAGGCTGCAGAATGTGAATGTTGCAAGCGATTTTAAAGATTTTCTTTTGGGGAGGAAATCACAGATCCTTTTGGGA